AAATTGTCTGTTGTGAATGTGTGTATGTCCTGGTTCTCCAGGTTGGGGGAGCGTTGAGCTAATGACCCACCTCGTAAAAATTAGATGTTACAAAACACCAACATGGTGCGGCTAATTATCAACTTCAATATAAACAGCCCTGGAAGTAAGCAATGTTTGAGATTTTTTTCCCCTATAAATGTTAGTCTCGTAATAAATTAAAATCAGATTAGTGATTTATGACTCTAGACAAAACAAAATTCTCTTTATGTGCTGTTGGGGATGTTTTCAGCCACTCTGGGGTGATTTAAAGTCTTAATCTGGCTACAACTTTCTTTGTTTCAGTAAATGGAATGATTTTTGGTGACAAATCTTGTTTTGAAACATTTGGGGAAAATGCTTTGAAATTGAGCAAAAATTAATTCAAGAGTCCATAATTATTTGGTGTTATTGCTTTGCGATAATCAAAAAATGTTAATATAATGGAAGTCAATGGGACAAAAACAGCCACAAACATCACGAAAGGATAATAAATTTGAACAGCACACAAGGGTTAATTATCATAAGTGTAACAGCAGGCTCTGAACATTCATCATGGATCAGGCACTATAGGACGCAACCAGAAGCCGATTGAGAATGATATCATAGAGAAAAAGATCTATATGATTGATGTCATGTCACAGTCCATAATCAATCCTCTTTTCATATATTCTGACTAATATGCCGAACATGACTAAGCATGACAAAACTCTTATTTTTGTCTTTATACTATAGTTGGTAGAGGACTTGAAATAGTTGTGATTAAGCATTTTTGACAAAAAATGATAAAATATTCCTGCTTTGCTTGCAGAAAACCCTAATCCAGTGGTCACCAAACTTGTTCCTGGAGGGCTGATGTCCTGCAGATTTAAGCTCCAGCCCTAATCAAACACACCTAAACAAGCTAATCAAGCTCTTACTTGGTATACTTGAATCATCCAGGCAGGTGTGTTGAAGCAAGTTGGAGCTAAACCCTGCAGAGACACCGGCCTCCAGGACCGAGATTGGTGACCCCTGCCCTAATCTATTAGTTTACCTGCATATTGTAGACTTGTGTCAAAACTACAAAAAGGCCTTTAAGTTTGAAAGAACTTTAAAGTGTTCAGAGAAATCATACTTTTGAACAAAAAAAGAACAAGTCAACAAGAATTAACAAATCACAAATTCCTTTTCTGTTTCATGTCAGGTTGTAGATTTGAGCTCAGATTGAGCAACTGATTTGTACAAGAAACTAAGCACCAAGTATGAATATACAGCCCACAGTCATTTTGATATTCAAAGTATTATCACCTGGCCAGAATTTTGAGAATGCATAAAAAATAGATTTTAATGCAACAGAAGCTCACAAAACACAGTAAAGCTACAAATTTCAGGGATTTATAAGTAATCAGCAAGATTTTAAAATGTCTAAATTTCTAATAAAGAGCAAATACAGTGTTGAGAGAACCAGGCTAATATGATCATAATACCTGGTTTTAATAAGCACTATAGTCATGCATTCTTTTACCAGTTTTTTTTATTTATTTATTTATTATTATTAGACCTGCAGGGCAACCAATCAGTAAAACATTACAAAAATCTAGCCTTGAGATTATGTGTTAATTAGATCTTCTGCATTGGGTATTGAGAACATATGTTGTCTAGATGAAATGAAGTTTAGCAGATGCTGCAGACTGGCCTATAAATTACAGACTGCTGTCTAGCTAAGACTGGATAAACTAAATTGGCCATAGTGTATGTGTAAATGAGTGTGTATGGATGTTTCCCAGTACTGGGTGCAGCTGGAAGGGCATCCGCTGTGTAAAACTTTTGCTGGATAAGTTGACGACTCCTGAGAAAAATTAATCAATAAATCATCACCTTAGAATTATAAGGTTCTATCTGACATTTTTTGTCAAAATTAATGACATATTCTTATTAAATGACAACCTATTAACATTATGGGATGTTTTTTTATAAGTTGTTTACATTTTAAGACATTTTATTTACAAAAACAAATATTACACACATACTGTTTGCTATGGAATGCAAAAACTTTGAAGCTCAATATCTCAGAATCATTCAGAACGCAGACAGAACCTTATAATTCCAAGGAGAAGAAATGTTTAGCTGGGATGGGTATCATTTAAATTTGATCAATAACGATACTGATAGTGCTTACCAATAACTATTCATATTAATACTGTTAAAAATACAAAAAGATGTGAAAGTATGTTGATAATTTGAAGTTATTTTGTTACTGTTGAAATTTACAGTAGTCTACAGTACTTTACAGTACAAATACTCAAGTAAACATGACCTATATGGTGTGTTTTGTTAATAGATGTTTAATTATGTTACCAGCTTTGTTCAGTGTTACACTACTGCATGTGTTGCATTTTACCTTGGTGTCAGTTAGCTTTGTTACATGAGCCCACATTCTTGATTGCTTTATAGCTACAATGACCATCTGCACATAAATGCAAGGATTTTACGCACATGCCAGTTGTCATACTTGTGATTCCAATACTGAAGGGTTCAGAGACAAAGCAGCCCGTGTATCATTAGCAGTCCGTTTTGACATGAAGCTTATCAGTAGTCTGGTATTGACCCAATTATATACACAGCCCAAAATAAATACAGTTTCTTGGTATTCATCCCTGCATCTAGTCCCAATTTCTCGACTGATGACAAAGATTTTTAACAGAACATTAGTCAAGAGTGAGTATTATTATGCAGTATTATAGTTTTGAAGCATAAATTTTAAAAGCCAACAGTCAACTTCATCTGATGAATTGAGTGTAGTTAACTCAAAATTGACTGAAAGTTAAATCTACTCATTTGAAAAGAGTTTTAAACTCAGTGTTGAAAGTAATGAGTTAATTGAATACCTTATTACTTCAACTTAAATGGAGTAAGTTGACAGTACTCATATAGATTAGTTTAACTCAAATGGTTTGTAGCAATCAGTTTCCTCAAACGGTCTGAGTTGCCTTAACATATTGGGTTTTACAATACTCAGCTGGTTTGAGTTCTCTTCATTTCTTGGGTATTACTGTGCTCAAAATTGCTTTGTTTGTTCAAATAGATTAAGTTCACTGGATTAGTTTTTGAACTTAAATGGTTTGTTGCAATTGGTTTCCTCAAATGGTTTGAGTTACCTTAACTTTTTGGGTTTACAGTGTATAATCTAAAACTGTGTTTAGTAGAAAGAAGTTGCTAATCATTCATTTTTTTATATCCACTCTGTGTGTTTTTATTTGAAATGTTTCATTAGGCTTTGCGAAAATACAGTATCTCTGATTATTGTCAGAATCCGCCTTGAGGTATTCCATATTAGTGTTGGGGTGACACATTACAAACAATCTAATGTGAGTTATGTAATCAGATTTTTTTTCAAGTAACTAGTATAGTAGCACATTACTTTTTTCCAAGAAAACATGAGTTAATTTTTCCTATACTGACTGACAGATCTCCTAATACCATTTAAAGAGAATTCAGTCGTAAATTTAGAGTTTTTTTGTGTGATGAAAAATGTGATGCTTAATGTTCTGCTTAAATGTGAATGTATTTATTCATCTCACTTCCAAAAAAAAAAACAGATTCAATATCCCTCACTACCCTTAAAATGAAAAAAAAAAAAACAATGAAATGCAAACTCTGGAAATTCTTTGCTTAAGGGTGTTTTCTGTCCTGCATCCTGAATTATTCACTTCGCAAGCATTTTGCTTTTGGCATATTTTTCTAAAATATATTTTTTCTTTTTTATATTATAACAAACAAGCAAGCCCAGCACTTTTTAGGGAAAATGAATACACAATTAATGTTACTTATTACTTTACTTAAAAAGTAAATCATATTTAATCACTCTTTAAGAAGCAAGATTGTAATACATTACACAATATATATATATATATATATATATATATATATATATATATATATATATATATATATATATATATATATATATATATATATATATATATAAATATAAATATATATATACACACATCTGCTGTGTAAAACATATGCTGGATAAGTTGGCTGTTCATTCCACTGTAGTGACCCCTAATGAATAAAGGCACTAAGGAAGGAAGGAAAATAAATGAATGATTAAAAATTATTTTCTCTAAGGCCGTACTCACACTATCTACAGCTGCCTCGAAAACGGCCAAAGCACGCTTGTTCTCCCTCCCGTCTCCCCTGACGGCCCACACTCACACTACAATCGGGCCTGGGCACGCTTATGCATCGATGCTTTGCTGTTCAGTAAGCACTCTCGCTCAGCACAGAGGAGATTTCTCTAGTTATATCGTTTCAGTAGTTTGATGTGCAGTGACATGCAGTCAAATATTTCGCCAAACAGTCCTTAGGGATGCGGTGACACAGTCAGATATTTCGCCAAACAGATCCGTCACTTTTACCGCTCATAAACAATCATAAAGCCCTCGTGCTGCAGGAATGAGGAGGTTTGCTGAAGGTGCACAGCTGTCGTGCAGTGTGGAGTTTGCGTCTTTAATAATCTAGGGCAGTTTGTGTTCATTGAACAGTAAGAATGATTATTAAATCCATATGAAACAGTCCCTTTCAGTTTCGGGCTTTATATAACGATATAACTAGACAAATCTCCACTGTGCTGAGGGAGAGCGCTCACTGAACAGCGCAGCATCGATGACGTAAGCGCGCCAAGGCCCGATTGTAATGTGAGTGGGGGCTGTCGGGGGAGACGGGAGGGGGGACAAGCGTGCTTTGGCCCGGTTCGAGGCAACTGTACATAGTGTGAGTACGACCTAAGACTGCTCCTTGAACTTCTGACCGTTTTGACGCCTTCATATAAGCCTGTTCAGATAGATAAAGACAAATGACTTTGTTAAAATTGTTGAAAACCAGTCTTGTTCCAGAATTTTCAATCAGTGAAAGTATACATGCAATTATACTAAAATAATTTGATTAAGATTTCAAGCAAGAATGTTATTTTTTTTTCTTTTTTCTTTTGGCAGGTACATGCATGTCCTTGCTACCGGGTTAACATGGGCCAATCAGATCAAGTCAATGGATCAGAGGACACAGTCCTCCATGATGGGAATCAAGAGACCAGCCTGGGAAATGACAGCGTCAACACTTACAAACCAGCCTTTGTGGATGACATCACCAAGCACCTAAGTGTTCAAATATCGCTCATATTAGCTTATTCACTGATAATCCTGCTAGGACTCGTGGGTAACACTCTGGTCATTTACATGATCATTCTTTACAGAAACATGCGCACCGTCACCAACTATTTTATCGCCAATCTGGCCCTGGCTGACCTGATGGTGGACACAGTGTGTTTGCCTTTCACCTTGGTTTACACATTGTTGGATGAATGGAAATTTGGAGCAGTCATGTGTCACATGGTGCCTTATAGCCAAGCTCTCAGTGTTCACGTTTCCATTCTCACCCTTACCATTATTGCTCTGGAGCGCTACAGGTGTATTGTTTTCCATCTTGGTCAGCGACTCAATCGCTGCACTAGCTTTATTATCATTGGCCTGACTTGGGCATTCGCTGCCATACTGGCTGGCCCACTGGCCATTTTCCGAGAGTATCGATACGAGGAAATCCCTTACATCGACTTACGAATTGCGGTTTGCTCTGAGAAATGGCCGAATGGCACAAATCGGGATGCGGTCATTTACAGTCTATCGATGCTTCTCCTGCAGTATGTGGTCCCTTTGGCCATCATCAGTTATGCTTACGTGTGCATTTGGATTAAACTGAAGAACCACGTCAGCCCTTCCAACCGCAACGATGGCATTGTCCGTCGGAAGAAGACCACCAAGATGTTGGCTCTAGTAGTCGTGGTCTTCGCAGTTTGCTGGCTCCCGTTCCACATGTTTCAGCTGGCCAGCGATCTTGACTTGATTCTCAAGTTCAAAGAGTACAAACTGATTTATACCTTGTTTCACATTGTGGCGATGTGCTCAACTTTCGTCAATCCGCTGCTCTATGGCTGGATGAACCAGAATTATAGGAACGGCTTCCTCATGTTCTTCCGCTGTGAGCACAAACCAGACTCAATCTACCCTGATGGCTCCTTCAGGACTCGATCATTGAGAGGGATGATTGTGAACGGGTACAATGATGGTCAGCCTGCGGCAGCTGTCTGATCATGAAGATAGAGTCTTTCTCGGTCTGGTGGAGCTTGATTGTTGCACAGTATATAATCCAACAGGGGACAATGGGGCTAAAGTCTGCTCTAAACCACTGCATGGAACATAAACTTAATGTAGCACTTTCCTAATCCTCCATGATTTAGTATATAAGTGTGGAAATTTATTTGGATGATCCTTGACATATTCCAGTCCTAATTTAATCTAATATTCATGAAACGGGTATTTGTTCGAGCTCAGTAGAACAGCAGTTTTGAAATAACTGAAGAATATGTAAAGGTTTGGTACACTCTTAGAAATAAAGGTACGAGAGCTGTCACTGATGCAGTAACTTTTCAGATGGTACTCGCTTTTACTTCTTATGTAATAAAATGTACGCTTGACATACTTTTATGTACCTTTAAAGTGATAGTTTAACCAAATATGAAAATTCTGCCATCATTTACTCACTTTTTCAAACCTTTATTGATTTATTTAGTCATTTGAACACAAAAGATGATATTTTAAAGAAAGCTGAAGACCGGTAACCATTGGCTTCCGCATTGTTTTTCCTACTATTAACAAGTCAATAGTTACAGGTTTTCAGCTTTCATCAAAATATCTCCAGAATAAAAAAACTCATAAATGTTTGGAACCACTTGAAGTTTGTAAATTTTAGATAGATTTTCATATTTGGGTAAAATCTCTCCTTATAAGCTCTTGTGTACCTTTATTTCTGAGTGTGTGTGGGGTAAAAAGGACCCTGCTGTTGGGGCTAAAGGCACAATAACTGACAAGATTATGAATACACTATTGAATTCAGATGGCTATTATTAGTTATTAACATTGGTGTCCACCATAGAGATAATCTACTTGGGCTTCCAATATAGAGATAATCAATCACCACTATGATAAGGGAACCAACATGTTTCAAACTATGTTACACTCTCCAAATATCGAAAGGCCTATAGAGAAGTGTTAAAAATGTATATATTTTTTTAAATAATTACCTCATCATGTATTCTTTCTTGTGTAGTTTTAAACATTCATGAGTTTCCTTCTTCTGTTGAGTGTTGGTTGCTGGCACTCATTAACTTCCATAGTAGGAAAAAATATGATGAAAGTCACTGGGTGCCAGCTACCAGAATTTTTAAAAATAACATCTATTGTGTTAAACAGAAGAAAGAAAGTCAAATATTTTTGAACAAGTGGAGGGTGAGTAAATGATGATGGAACTTTCATTTTGGGGTGAACTATCCCTTTAAACAAGTGCATATAGTGTACAATAAGTACATTGTATAAGGGTACCAGCTATATTTAAGTGTTTCGTCTATTTTAATAGTTTAATTAGTTTTGGATGCCCTTTAAATATAGTGTATGGTTTAATTTATTATAAAACTGAAAAAATTATTCTGACAGTCATTAAACAACAAAGCAAAAACATAAAAATGAATTAAATGCAGTTCAACTGAAGTCATTATTTTGAACAAGTCCTTCTAGTAAAGTATTTGTATCAATACTGAAAGCTCTTTGCCCCAAGCTCAAGCCCACCTCAAACTACTTTAATGATTTATTTTTCTCAGAAAATGTGCTGATTATGTAGTAATCAGTAAAAACATCCATTATATATTTTCTGATAGGCAGTCAAAAGCAAATTTTCCTTAAATGGTTAGTTCATGCTAAAATGGTAATTCTGTTATTATACTGACCCTGTCATTCCAATTATCGGAGACCTTTGTTTCTCTACAGAACACAAATTAAGATATTTCAGATTAAATTCGAGAGCTCCCTCATCTTCTATAGCAAGGGTCCTAAAACATTCAAAGTTCAGAAAAGAAACCAAAGACATAGTCAAAACATTCCTTGAGGCTTCAGTGGTTCAATCTGTAATCATATGAAGCTTCGAAATTTCTACATTTTTAAAAAAATATATATATTTTTTTTCTTTTCTGCATCAGGGGTGCGTTTCCAAAAACCATTGTTAGCCCACTAAGGTCACAAGTTGCATTGTTACAAACATAGTTAATTGATTTGCCATTTACTAAATTCATTGTTCCAATGAACATTCGCAATCTCCGTCGCAAGCTTGTAATGTGAGTGGGGGCTAGTTAGAAGCATAGTTCCTGGCTGTGTTCTATTCCCAGTTACCCCCCTATGCCCTATTCCTTTCGAACATTCCAACATTCAAACTTGGAATGATTAAAAAAAAAAAACAACATTAAGGTCCTCTCTCTCAGGTGTAATTTGCTTTCAAAGTATTTTTACAGTTCAGTTTTAGCGATCTTCATTTTGACAATTATGATCCCTTCACAGTGCACTTACATTAAATGACATTTTAAATGCAGCCGTAGCTCATAACAAAAGCTATAGGTGACTTATTATTTAAAATCAGAATTTAGGTTATTTCTCCAAAGCTTATAAAAACAAAAATACATAGCATATGTTAATGCATTTAATTTATAGTAGATTATTTTTTAAGAAATGTGTCTGTAGCCCACTGTATATGACATGGGCCTGTTGGTTAGAACATTTCTGCAGTGGTTTGAATGTCACATTGTAAAATGCAAGGTGGAGTAGCGGGTAGCACAATCGTCACACAGCAAGACGGTTGCTGGTTCTAGTCCCGGCTGGGTCAATTGGCTTTTCTGTGTGGAGTTTGGATGACCTCCCATGTTTGTGTGAGTTTCCTCCGGGTGCTCTGGTTTCCCCCACAAGTCCAAAGACATGTGGTATAGGTGATTTTTTTAAATAGCCTATCTTAATAAATAGCCTACTGTAAATTACAACCATTAACAATTTATATGATTTATATGAGATTAAAATACATGTTACCTAGTTCATGTTTTAAAATGGAATATGGAATATTCTCAATAATATTTGTAAAGGAAACATAGGTCCTATGTGTGCAGTTTACAAATATTTTAATTAATATGAAAACAAGCGCTTGTTTTTACCAAAACTAATATTGAATTTTTTTATACGTGTGCATAAAAATAAATTTATGCATAAAACAATTTATTTTGCATAGTATGGGCTTTTTCTCTAAAGAGAGTTTAGAGCATCATTATGGGCGTTTCATGTTATAACTAATGTGATTCAAACGATGGATCTGCAACAAAGCAACTATGGTTTTGGGAAAAACTCATCACTCACTTGCCAAACAATGCATCGCACTAATAGTTTAGCCGCGAGTTATGTCGTTGTTTAGGAAACGCACTTCAAGATAGTGTATGCGTTTACTATGGCTAACATTACATATTGTCATTAGAGTCAGCAGAGCGACACTTGTGGTAGTAAACATACACTTTTGGTTGCTTTGAAGGTTTTAGAAACATTTCTGTATATAATGGATGAGAGAGTTCTCAAATTTCATCCAAATTTTCTTAATTTAAGGTCTCAAGGAATTGCAACAACATCAGGGTCAGTAAATAATTGCAGAATTGTACAGTTTGGATAAAGTAATCCTTTAAAGGTATAGTACCATAAAAAGATGTGTTGTTTATTTTCTCACATTTTTTCATATGTGCTGACTTTTTTTGTAAACTTTCAAACAGTCCTTAGCATGTTCACGACAATTTGAAGCACAAACTTTCATAATTATCAATTTATTATGTATTTACATAATATAATATGTATCTGTGCTGTGTATATTTATGTGTTTTATATAAATATAAAAATATGAATTGTAAATTAATATATTGGGGGGGGGGGTTGTTTTTGTATTTCATGTAAGTTTGTATTTACAAATAAAGAGTTTGGATGCAAAAACGAAAACGTCTAAATGCTGTCTGAAATGTTCTTCAGAAATTTTACCAGGCTCCTGTGTGTAGGTTCAGAAAATTTCACTTTCATGGCCAAAAATAGGTTATTTTCATGATCTGTAAATTGAAATAACTCTTTTCAAAACATTTCAGAAGGCACTTAGAACGTTTTGCATCTAAACTCTTCATATGTGTAATAATTGGTCACAGTTTATTAATTAAGTTACATGCCAACTAAATCTCATTAGATTATAAGCAGACTGTTAGTTTGTGGTTAGGTTTAGGGTTACTGTAAGTTGACATGTACATGATGCATAGTTTCTTGTTGTCAGTTAAATGTTTGTTGAAGTAACAGTATCAACAGATACTAAGCAGACAGTCTACTAATACTCAAATGGACCATCAAAATAAAGCCTTACCTAATAAATATGCACAGCACACACATATACAATATCATGTAAATACACATTTTCTGTGAAATCCGTGAAAAGTCATTTCATAGATTAAGGATAAGCACAAGTGATTACATTTTGATTGTCAATAACAACAACGACTATTTTGTGGATTGTTAGAAGCCACAGTTATTGATTTTGTTTTGCTCGTTTTTTTTTTTTTACTCTCAAAGTGCCTGAAGCAGCTAACTATCATTTTATAAATTGCAGAGGACCACTGTTCCACAGTTTCAGCTAAAAAAAAAAAGTCCACTAAAAAATATAAGTCACCTACAGCTAATTTAAATGTTCCTTTTAAATTGTCTCTTTAGCCCCATTTTAGCCCCATTGTCTCTTTAGCCCCATTTTAAACCACCTATTCATTTTGCTTCACAAAATAATGGGCATTTCATCAAACTCTTATTATCTTATCCCTGTTTTTACAAGTTTAATTCCACAAGTGGTTCCCATTTACCAGCATCCAAACATGTGGAGAAGATTTCTCCATTCTGCCTGCATGCAGCCTAAATGCTGCTGATGCTGTCGAAACATTTTCAAAGCCAATCACCTAAGCTGTAAATTGCATGTGACATATTACATTTACGACCTGGAGAAAGGCATCCGTCAGCATTCCCGTTCATCTCACAGCACTCTCCTGAATGCATCCAGGACCCACTAGAAGTGCATGATTTAAAATCTGCCATCATGGGACCACAGAGTAATAATCACTAATCACTATGGGCTCTTAAAATAAGATGTCATTACAACTCTGATTGGCTGATGGCACCAAAAGAGCACACAATCCCAAACCCTTCACTAGTGAGCTGTTACATAAAGTCCATTTCCTGCTTTAAAAGCCCTCCAAAAAAACACCCCTTGCACCGTTGAAAGAGATATGTTGATATATGTTGCACTTCTAATATATATAGATGTCTAAATTGTCAACATACATGGCAAATTTTGAATGGCTGTCATTGTTTTATGTAAAGCTGGTGCCTGAGCTAGACTAACCTAGATCCCATTAAAATGCTTTCATGTATTGCATTGTGGGATACAGTGTAATCCGATGTGCTTTGTTGTATAATGCACATTTTGGCAGATCTGGATGTTATTGTACATGCATCCTTGACATTTGCATACAATCATATATATACACAGCTGAAGCAAAATTATGTGTGTAATTTGAATTCTTTTTCAAATCTTTCGCTAGTGCTGTTTAACAAATTTCTATTATATCCCATCCTATTACCATATTTCTTCTGAAAAAAG